TTTTTTTTTTTGCACTGTATGCACAGAATAGGGCTTATACAGAGTCTTGTTAAATTTGTTGATGTGGACAGTAGAGGTACCAATCCAGTGCCACACCAGGGACAGAGAGTAAAGTTTAAATAGGCTAAAAAACATACATGCCAATGCCTCATATTTCTTTATATCTCGTTCTTTCTTTATATTTCATGTATCTTTCTCTTCTTATGAAAGCATCTTTCATTAGGAGAGACAGGAAGGCATGAGGGAGTTGGCACTTATCCAACGGGGGATGATTAAAGAAGAGATGAAAGGTAGCACATTACTGCAACACAGATTGATAAATAATCTGTGCATCAAAAGCAATCCCCTCTAATTGTTGATTATGTATAAAACCATTAATCGCTCGACATTGTTTACATTTTATTTCTTAACATTTCCTCTAAAGTTAAGGCAAATTGCTTTTTAGGAAGAAAAAGTGAAAATCTAATTTTGCTGTGTGCGTTAACGTGCATGAGGAATTCATGAGCCATTAAAATTAGAATATGTTTGTTTTTATCCCATTTGATGCTCCGCCATTTGGTGAGTCCCTTCTGGCCAATCAGACAGTAAGCCCAAAAGACAACAGTAGATTTTAAACTAGGGGATGATGCATCAGTTTTCTGAAAACCACTCACACACACAGAGAAAGGCAGTAAGCCAAAAAGACAACATAAATATTTGGTGACAGATAGTGACACAGCACTATTTCGAGAGTGGGTTCGAAGAAAGAATGCGCAAACAAATGCACACACACATATAGCTACACAACATAAACTTTTTCTCTATCAACAGTCAATCTTGTTCTCTCTCTCCCTCCCTCTCTGACAGTCTATTTGTTTTAGATGAAAGAGACATTAAAGCCTGCATTAGGTCTTACTGCACCTACTGATACCAAATATATATGCAAAAAGGATTGTTCTCTGACTGACTGGGAAATATTAATATCCTTCTGTCTATCTGTCTGTTTGCTAAAGTCTCAATGGAAATTAGAGTGTATCAGCAGGCAGTTAATATGCATGTTTCCCACTTTCCTCAAACTAGTTTGCTGTCGCTTCCTTCTAATAATCCTACTGTCCTTTGTGACACACTTAGGCTGAAAACCTAACTCTTTTTAAAATTTGGGATGACCTTCCAGTAAGTTCACTGAAAGCTCAATGTACAATTCCGTTTAGCGTCTCACTTTCATAAACCTCACTTCTATTATTAACCTAAGCAAACAGTGAGACAGCATCTTCTACTCACAGTCAAAATCAGACAACAAATCCACCATATCATACCTACTCGTACAAGGAAGTGGGCATAGTCTGTATGAAAGGGATGCTTACATGTCTTGGCATTCACCAGCAGTGGTTCACTTTGTCCTGTTGGGTAGGAAGCAGTCACTTGAACACTGTACTCCGTCCCACTTAGCAGATTCAGGAGGAGCATGGAGTTCACGTCTTCACCCACTGTTGACTCCAAAACTGGTCCTGGAACTGAGAAAGACACACATATGCATAAATGAGCAGAGACAGAAAGGACAGAGGGAGACAGAGGAGGATGAGTTATTATATTTAAGAAAACATACTACAAATCACATCCAGTTTTCCTGTGAGTTTTATAAAAATAGATTTGAAACTTTGCAAAAACATTTGAATCCCATTTAGAATTTAAACTTGGTTAGATTCTGCACATTGTGCCACTCTTACCTGAGATAGCATTACGTTTTCTAAACACATCAACTAAAAGCTTTTTTCTCATGTAGCTAAAGTTAAACACAAACTGTTTGAAAATAGTATAGAGGCCAAGCAGTCAAAAAGGGTTATTTTCATGTTTTCTACATGGGATCATCCACTGGTGGGGATGCTAGTAGGATGTGAGTTTTCTGCCTGGGACATGCAGCTTTAACCTCAGTCTTTTTAACACGGTTCATTGTTTGCATGGTGCATATTTAAGAGCCTCTTCACAGAATTCTTGCTTTAAACAACAAGACACCTGGAAACATTAAAAAGACACTAAACTGACATAACACTGTCTTAATTAGTTATTCACTTCAGCCATCAAAAATCAATCACCATGTCAGAAGCTGCTTTGTCTACCTCTGTCTGAAATTAAGGACCCACAGTTTCAACCTCAGCGTGGTAAATCTGCCGCCATTATCATTGTAAACTGCGTGATAATCTTTTCATATACACACAGTCCATAAATATACATGCAAAGTCTTATTGAACCATCAAAGTGTACTAGAACTACAAACTGCTTTACAAAATAATAACAATCCTGCATAAATTATATATATATATATATATTAAAGGGCAGAATAAAAAAATAAACAAAAACAATAGTAATAGAACAATAAACAACAGACAAATAAAGCAGCAGCAGCAATTATCTTTACAACACACAACACACTGGTTTAATAGAAAACAGACTGTGTATATATCTGTGCGTGTGTGGAGGTATGTGTGCTTTTTATGTATTTGCTACATTAAGTGAGTTTAACTTTACATTAAGTACATTGTAGTGGCATATCTGTGTGTGTGTGTGTGTGTGTGTGTGTCTGTCTGTGTATGTAAAGGCATTTGCTTACACACAGGCACTTTTCCTCAATCCACGTACTAAGATTCTTACAGTGAAAACAGCAGCCTGATGAAATTTATTTCCCTTCAACTTAATTCCTAAAATCAGATTAATGCAGGCTGTCTGCTTGAAGCTGGATCCTCAGAGACACAGTAATTGTGTTTGGATGACTAAAAACAGACATGGAAACTATAAAGACTGGAGCCTTGTCTTGGAAGGATGAAACAATTAGCACTAGACAAGAACAGAACAGTGAAAATGGGCTTTTGATGATGCTTCAAGACAATAAATAAACGAGGAAGGGTAATGTCTTATTTCAGCTCTGGATCGCTGACATTTTCCTTGTAGCCTCAAACTTCTTTTAGGAAAGCCACAATAACCTAAGAGAAGTATGTTTTCCAGCTACTACATGCCTTTGCCTTGTTGCTGGTGGGTCCTCTCATAACAAGCAGATTAGTATGTTTGGATGAGGCTGTGTCCCAGAGCAAAGCACACACTAAATAAAAAATACTTCTGTGCTTGAAAACTAACAGTCCAGTTGTTTTTGTGTTTCTACTCTACAAAAACCTTTACCAGACAAAAAGACAATTTCTACATTTTATACCGTTAGGATTAGCTTTTGTGTCTGCCTTTGTGTGTGTGTGTGCACCATAGATTGGCTGGTAGACGATCCTGTAACCCTCTGCAGGAGACTGGGGTGGATCCCAGGTGACCCTGAAACGGTTGTACCACTCCTCTGACACACGCAGGCTTCCAGGAGACAAGAGGGGCACTGCCAAAACACAGAAACACAGACAAAATCAGAATATAAAAGTGCTTCTCACAACTTGAGCCCTGTGGAGTTTTGTTGTAAACAAACAAAAGTTATGTTTACATTCAGTGTTACTCAACAAAACGCATTTTGAGTATCATGTGAGTAACACACAAATAAATTGATTGCATACTCTGGTTGGGAGCTGTGCCTTGTCACTGGGATGAAAGTATCAGAAGATTGTTGTAACACTGACCTTTCCTCGCAAAACACAGGGACTCTCTTACTGGTGCACTATTGCATAACTAACCTAACTGTACAAGCTACTGCAACTAGCTAGTTAGTGGTCCTATTAGCTGTCTGTACCCAGACTGGGAGCTTGAAGGGCAGGGGGAGTTTAAACACTTCTAGCATGGGAGCGACACAGTGGCTCACAGCCTCAGAGAAGGCCAGCTGATCTACAGCGGCTCGGACCAGGACCCTGACTGTGGGGATGAAGACACGGCAGTTTCAGGTAGCGACAGGAGATGAATGAGGAAAAAGAGTGAGTTTGTAGCAAGTTCATTTAGCTAGTCGTCAGCCCTAGTAAAATGATGCTTCATACCAAAACTTTAAGTTACTAATCATTATCTTGATAATTGAAAAATCTGTCAATTATTTGATTAAACAATTAATAGTTTAGTTTATTGAAAAACACCTCACACATCGCAGTTTCCACAGAATCCAAGGTGACATTTTCAAATTCCTTGTTTTGTCTGATCATAAGATCAAAAACAAAACATATTTAATTTACAATGATATAAAACAGTGAAATGCAGAAAATCCTTACAAGAAGCTGAAAATTTAATTTTGTTTTAAAAAACTATTTCAACAATTATTCGAATGTGAAAATAGATGCAGATTATACATTTTCTGTCAACTAATCATTGCATCTCCAAAGAAGAGTACAATTGGAGCAGCTTTTCCAGTTTTTTGTTTCAGTCCTACAGACACATTTAGGTCAGCACCATGAAACTGATAAAATTGATACACAGCCTTAAAATTAATTATGACTTTTGTTCCTTGTTCTTGTTCATAATTTATTAACTAGGCATGGTACTTATATATATATATATATATATATATATATATATATAGTTTGTTGATATATGATTTAATGATATCCTTTTCAATAAACAGTGAAATATAAA